TCAACGATATATTATCATTGTATAAGAAAAACGATTCTGAGCGGAGACGGTATGTCAGTCTAGGTATAAGACATATTATATACATATCTATGGTAATAAACCAAAATTTGACCTATAATAAGTAGGTACCTATAATAAATTCCAAATTAATCATATCACAATATCCATTAGATACTTATAACGCGTTATACATCAACAAAAACCGTGATACTATCATAGACAATTTAGAAGTTTCAAGTACCCACGAACAATATTATTCAATCACAACAAAATAACTAAAATAATAGTTATTCTAGGTTTTTTAATATGTAGTTTCGTCCAAATTTGAATTTAAAATGCCTGTAAAAAATAACTGTGTTCATATATTTTTTAGGGTTTTTGGTTACCGTATGAACTATTTATGAGAACCTTTGTTTTAAATTTGCAATTCTTAGCTATAAAAACTGAACATTTTATATTACAATTATTGATAATTTTCGAAATTTTGATAAATTTTGTCAAAATTTGATCTTTGAATGCTTATAAAAGAAAATTGTGACTAAGGATTTTTAATATTTTTCATCTGCCTTTGAAACAATATACTAGGAGCCTTCTATTAAATGTTCAAGCTTTTTTAACCAACAAATAAAATTGTATTGATATTTTTAGAAAAAAAACTAAAAGAAAAAATGGAAAATGAAAATGTGCCCAAACAGTTCAAAATAAATCAAAACATTTTGAAAATGTTATCATGTATAGAAAATGCTAATATAAACATTCAGTCAAAATTTCATGTACCTACGGTAATTTGTTTAAGAGTTGCACCAAAAACCAAAATCGATTTTTTCGAAAACAGATTTTAGTGTAAAAATTCCCGTTTTTCCTTAATTTTTATTTTGTTTTGAAAACTACTGTTAAATTTTCACTTTTGATCCCCCAAAGTACCAACTAGATTCACTTTCCTATCAGAAAATCTCTGTTGAAGAAAATCCAAGCGATTTTACTGTCCTAAAACGTGATGACAGACACAAAAAAAAAAAAAATTAAAAAAAAAAAAACACACATCATTGTAAAATCAATACATTCATCGTTCCACTCAGAATCTAAAATGTACACAAAAAATATTAATACATGCAAGTAAATATTTGATTTATAATATTAACTAATTTGTTATTTTTATTGTGCTGTTCAGACATGGTTTGTGAATGTGAATGTGATGGCAATGGAATTAATACAGGTTCAGGTTCAGCTGACGATGCTGCTACTACCGTTTCGTTCTTATTAAAATTAAGTCATTTAATTGGTATAATACATAATATATTGGTAATACACATAACAGAATCATTTTCTAATTTTAAAAATTTAAAACCAATTTGTCCTTTTCACCAAGATTATCAGCCTGTAATTTAGGTGTTTTTGTGTAGTATGATGAAATAGTGTTTTTTCTTTTGATACCTTTCTTGGTACGCTCCATGGTTAATAATTACACTATTACAGTTAACCCTCGAACGTGTACTTGCAAAATAAGAAAAAATGCTAAACTTATTGCAGTAATTTGACACTTATGACTTATGAATAGGTTTAAATTATAAAACATAGTGCACCACCGCTGAGGGGGGGAGGGGTGTTATTACACCTGTAACACCCCCCCCCCCCCCTGGCTACGCGCCTGTATAGCATTAGTCGACTTCCTCTGGTTTTTATTCTTGTAACTAAATTATTGTCCACTTACCTCTTCAGAAGTCCTGTGGAGACCATGCGCAGAGATGTGAACCGTTTTTGAGTATATAGGACCCCTCTTAGGGAGAGGTGGCTAGGGGCCATGCCCTCCTGACCATCATAAACTACCTATAAATAATAATTTCTTCCGAAAATCTCTATAGAAGTGCAGAGTGTTAATAATCTACTATCACGGGCTACAAATTTTACCATTTGATACATGCGTTTTATCCTCTGTTTTCCTCTACATGGGTAAATAGTGAAAAGAAAGATTTTTGGGCCTAATGGATCATTTCAAGTTTTCAGAACATGGTTGAAAAACCAAATAATTATACTTCATAGGACACATATTGTGAGTTTTAAAACTGAATTCTGGCTGAGAACAGATAATATTATATGTTTTATATTGTCAATATTTATATATTTAATTATGAAGACTGATAAATATATTTTAAAACTAATTATTTTGCAATTTTTTATCACAAGTTTAAACCAAAAAGTATGTACCTATTTACTATTATTTTTGTTATAATTTTGTTGTGTTTAATATTTAAATTTTCCTGTATCACAATTAGATATTACAAAATGTATTTAGCCTGGTTCAAATTTGGTCTTATATTCCTTATAATTTTTTAGTTATATTGATGCAAATTAAGGTGTTTTTCTCTTAGGTATTATAAAATACAATTTTAAACTATCAGTTTACCTGAATGATAATAATATTATATTATAGATCTGTCTTTTTAAATTATATTTATTAATATATTTTTTAATGGTTCGTTATTGTTTTTACAGTACATAAGAACGTAAGTTCATATTTTGTATAGTAGAAATAATACAGACATCAAATCTCTCTTGTGAAAAAGGAAAATAGTACCTACACTAAACATAAATATATTTTTAAATTTGAAAACTTATGAAAACCCTATGGCGAGTACCTACACAAATAAACTAAATAAATAATTTCAAAATAATTTTTACATTGACAAGTGTTTATTAATTGTGCAGTACTTATACATAGGTACTTTAAACTTTATACAAATAAAATATTTTACATTTTACAATCATTATTATACAATAAAAATATAGGTACAACAATTAATATTTTACAACAATTACTTACAGTTACTTACAAAATTTAGATACATAGGTAGATATTTGAATATTTTACATTTAATTGTTTGTATTTTAATAAACAGGGTTGTAAAGAATTTTTTTAAAACCCATTTGGGTACAAAAAAGTAATACTATCCCAATAAACATATAAACCTTAAATAGAACATTAATTAAAACTAAAAAAAACAACATTAAACATTTAATTAACCATTTAATACTCATTAAATTGTATTTTAATAAAAATTTATAAACCTTACACTTAACATCATTTGAACCAATTTTTAAGACTTGATAACACATTATACTGCAAGGTTTAATTCAACAGTACACCACAATGTTATCAGACACATTGCACTACATATACTTGATAATGTTATTTCTCAGAGATAATAATATTAACCTCATTACAAATTTATTTCACCTGATTGCAGATGGACAACACAGTGGTATATGGTTTTAATTATTACAATATATTTTAATGAAGAAAATGAAATGTTCAATTGAATTGAATTATTAAGTGAACGTATTTTTTGACAAGTAACAACAATTATATTTTAATTATAACAATATATTTTAATGAAGAAAATTAAATAGTGAAAGTATATTTTGACAAGTGAGTATTGACAACAATTAGATTTTAATTATTAAAATATATATTTTTATAACAGTATTTACTAATAATTACTGTTATAAAAATATATTATATTGTAATAATTAAAATCTAATTTTCATCACTGCTCACTTGTCAAAAAATACTTTCAATTAATAATTAATAAATAGTTGGCTTTCTGGCTCGAACCAGTAAACATGACGTGTGTGAAGTTGGCCCCCCCACTTATAAGAAATTTTCCAAAATTAGTGTAACCTTATTTTCTCAATTTGTAACCATTTGTAACCAAGTTTTTAGAATTTGTAACCTCATATTTTTCAAGCAATGGGTAATTTCTCAATGAGACGCTAACTTCACGCAGCCCCCCCCCCCCCAAATCAACGAAATCGTCTAAAGATGTTTATAACTTATTAAACTTAATTTGTAACTATTTGTAACCAACTTTTTAGAATTTGTAACCTCATAATTTTTGAGTACTGATCGATTTCCCCCAGGGGGGCTGCCCCCCCCCCAATTCAACGAAATCGTTCAAACGTGTAAACATGACAACGTACATACACTGAAAGAAAAATCCTGATCATATTAAAAAAAAACTAGGTTGGTTGATAAAGTCAAGCCTTAAACAGTTTATTGAAAAACGTTATCATTTGTTATTTGCAAGCTATTATCGTATACCTAGTCGTTTTGTATATTATATTTCTATCTATTTCTATATTATTTTGTATATTTTGTAAAAATGTTGTACTTTATTAACGAGTTAACAGTCCAGTGGTTTCTGATCGTGGTATTAGCAAGCGTACGCAAACTGGAGGACTTGATTCGCAAGCTACACAAAAAATGGATTGAACTGGACGATGACCCCAGATTCAATCTGGACTGCTGGTGTGGACACCTATCGAAGGACATGCCGGTTGGTCAAGCTAATCAAGCAATTACACACCGACTTCGTAATAATCATATAGTAATATTATAATAATTTATGTGATTATTCTTGTGTTTAAGGTGAACGACGTTCAACTTCAGGCCCCGGTCACATCCGGCGGCACGGACAAATTCACTCAAGTGGATCTTCCGGCACCGTAGAAGCTCCCGGAAAGACACGTGGGCACGGCCTCACTAATTAAACGCGACAGGTGGTACAATCCAATCGATGGTTATACCTTCAAACCGTCAAGTCAAACACTGAGCGATATCGATGATGTCCATAAAACATTATATAATTACCCAAAATTTCCAACTACAAATGAACGTCCACCATGTTTACCACCCCGCAAAAGGGCAGTTTGTGATTACTATAATCAACTCTCACCCCCGCGCCGTAATCGCAGACGAATACAAGAAGGTCAAGAACCGAAAAATAACAACGCTGACCGATTATGCGATGAAGTAAATTTTGTTAAAATTTTATAAATAAAATATAGTTTGTTATTTTTTTTTTTAATTTCAAACTAGTGTACAATTAATTTATTAATTTATTTTTATAATAGTTAGCAGAAACACAAGATGAGGTATTGCGCACCCGCCTGAGGACTGCAGACCCAATGAATTGATTGACCACGATCATTGTTTGGACTGCATGCAGCCTGTTAGACAGGCATCAAATCACTTGTTTGTGGTCGGAGAAGGTGTAAATGCCATTTCACCAACAGATCCGTATTTAGCAGGGTACATAACACGAATTGACGGAGATGACATTTTCGTGAAGTTCCCATATGGGAGATTAGATCCATATGAATACAAATATCGCATAGACCAAGTCCTCCCCTTGCAAACTCAATTCCCAGCCGGGAAATTTAAACCAATTAAATTGACAAAGAGAGACAAACAAGTTCAAAGGCAAAAAATCAAACTATACGAAGAAAGGCTACAAAGACATTTCACTGAAAAATGATGAATAATCCCTTCTACTATTGACTTTTAAACTCTGCCGTCCATATGGGACTTAAATAAAAATGTTTTATATATAACTATTAGCGTTATAACTTTTTTGTAACAATAGTTCAATACTGACCAAAGTTTTAAATAAGGCCCCTGTACGAAAAAATAATAATAATGTATATTATATAATTGAAATCCTCAAAAAAATTACTTCGGAGAAGTAAAAAAGGCTTTCTGTGCGTAAGTTGAAGAGATTGGGAGAACAGATAGAACTTTGGTGTTAATAAAGATGTGAAATCAATCTCAAAGTTCTGTGCCAAAAAGGGCCACGGTTGAAAAAATAGAATTTGGGGCTTAATAAAGAAGTGAAATCAATACCCAAGTTATGTGCCTCAACTTGAAAAAATATCTTATTCAAAAAAATGTCAAGATGTTCAACTGTACAAACACTAAAAAAAAATATTAGCACAGAACGGCGTGAATTACAGTTTGTCAACAAAAATTCGAATCAAACAGATTAACTCGTAAACAAGTCGACAATTTATGGCTAATTTTATTAATTCATCATTATTGTACGCCGTTCTGTGCTAATATTTTATTTTAATGTTTGTATGTTCGATTATTTAATTTTAGGTAGGTACCCGTTATCATAAATATATATAGGTATTAGGTACACGGCAGTACAAGTCTCTATTAATTACGGCCATCCAAAGGCGAGTAGCTACGATTTAAGGAAAAACAGATATGTTCTCAACGGGGGGGGGGGGTATTGAGCACAATTACACTGGTAGAGTATTTCCACTTTGAACAGTCACCAAAAATCCAATTTTTGTACCACCCTTTATAAATAGCATATCTATCGATTTGTATACACGTACAAGTTTAAAAAATAAGAAATAAGAATTACAGCGTCCAGGACTTATAACTGGAAAAATGTCTGGCCATTTGACATTTGTCAGGCCCGGACGCGTACGATTATGTGTGGCAGCCACCTATACGTTTGATACTGAAAGTTCGGGCGCCCTTCGCTTCGGGTTTCCGAGACCGCCGCCGACGCTGCCGGCACGAAACGTGAACACGTCCACGTAAGTCACGTCCTGTCCCCACAAACCTTTGCCGTCCCTGGGTTCGGCTTTCCGAGACCCTCCGCCGCCGACGCTGCCGGTACGAAACTTGAACACGTCCACGTAAGTCATGTCCTGTCCCCACAAACCTTTGCCGTCGCTCTTTTTGGTTTTCCGAGACCCTCCGCCGCCGACGCTGCCGGCACGAAACGTGAACACGTCCACGCACGTCACGTCCTGTCCACAAACCTCTGCCGTCGCTCGGTTCGGCTTTCCGAGACCCTCCGCCGCTCTCGGTGCGTGACTTGAGCTCGGTCGAGTACTCGCCGTGGCAGCCGCAGGGCCTGACAACTGTTGCTGCGACCACAGGTTATTACTCGTCGATTGTGACTTCACTCTGTAGGATCTCAATATATTTTTATAACAGTAATTATTATTATTAAACACTAAATAGTTCATTAATCCCAAACTATCAACGTACAAGGTGAAGTGACTAACTGACTTACAAAAAAATTATATTGGTATTTTCAACCAAGATGATGTGGACGGGTACATCTGCAGCCACGTTAAAGGTAATGATAATTATTGATAAAAATTGTCTTGGTAAATAGGTAGTAGGTACTAATAATTACCTAGTAATAATATTTGCGTATATAGTGAAATAATTATAAAGTATAAACTATAAAGTATAATAGCCGAATATATATATATTTTATATTTTGTTATTGACTTAAGCTAATTATAGTGATACCGACTACAGATGTATCTTTTCGACAATAAACTGTCTCCTGGAGAGAAAAAACATTTAATCGACAAAAACCGATACCAAATTGTCTGTGTGTGTTTTTATTTAACAAGAATAATTATAAGTAAAAACAAATAAAGAAAATAAATAAAAATAAAAAGTGTTCAATACGGAAAAAAGTATTTGAATACTTTTACTCAAATACTTCACAACACCGCCTACTTTTGCATACAACATATGGTTGAGATCATTATTATTCGAATATGTAATATTAAATAAATAATGTAAATATAAATATGTAATTGTGATTTACAATAACATCACACTATATTAGAGTATAATAAATCTCTTGTTATGTGATTAATGTTTATGATTGTTGAAATATTAAATTATAATTTAGTTTTCACCCAGTAGATTGTATACAATAAGTAGTATTGGCATACTACTCATACTGTAGATTAGCTATATAGTTATACATGTATAAGGAAAGCAAAAATGCAGAGTTGACATATTTTCAATTTTGAGTGTATACGGCAGTTAGAAATATTAGCTATATAGTATTTGTCACGTGCAATGAAAACAATGATTTAAAATGTATACCCACCTAACCCCATTGGATATTAGAACTAAATCGTGGGGGCAACCCCCCACCCCACCAATATTTAATCTAAAAAATATTTTCACAAGTTATATTAATTAAGTAAGTATTATTATTTACCGCATTATGTCTACAATTTTTAGCATTATTTAATATTTTAACATATTACAGTTAGGTTCATCACCTCAAAATGAAAACCAAGTTATTATCATCTAAAAACCATATCCACAGTCACTGATTTTATAGTTATTTAAGCTTTTAGTTAGGTACATCATATCATTCATTTATTCCTATAATAATTAGAATATAGAACTATTCAATTTTTTTTTTAAATTTTATGTAAATATATATGTATATTATTTGGTTAATGGTTTGCATAATATTTTTTTTTAGTATACTGTTGTATAGTAATATATTAAGTAAAAATATTAATAATTATTTTAGTTTCAATGCCAAAAAAAATTTCACCTGATACTTATTTCATTCCTATACATATAATAGTATAATAGGTATAGGTATCTCGAAATTAAAAAAAAGGGTCATCTCCTGGAATTGATAAAATTACAACTGATTTATTAAAAAAACATAATATCATATTTTGTATACCCCTATGTCACATTTTTAACCTAAGTATTTCTCAAAACCTAATACCAGATAACTTTAAAATAGCCATAATCACACCAATACACAAAAAAGGTCCAACTACATCATATAGTAACTTCCGACCAATCTCAGTAATTTCAAATATTGCAAAAATATTCGAAAAAATAATAAAAAAGAGGTTACTAGATTTTTTAGAATAATCTATTGTTTAAGCACCAATTTGGGTTCAGACCAGGTAAGCCAAGGGAACTGACCAAGCTATAGCCAATGTAACTAAAACTATATATACTGCATTAGAAGAAGGGAAAAAATGCGCTACTAAGAATTCGACACAGTAGATCATAACATACTTTTAAATAAAATGAATAATATCGGAATATCTGGTTCCGCTCTTTCTCTTTTACATCCTATCTTAATAATAGAAAACAAATGGTAAAAATATTAATGATTCCATCAGTAACGAGTTGTCAATAAAATGTGGAGTCCCGCAAGGTACAACGTTATCTCCTATTTTATTTAATATCCAACTAAATGATATAAAAACACTTAATTTAAAAAGTCAAGTAATATAATATGCTGTAATATAATATAATATGATACTGCACTAATTTGCATAGCTAATACATGGAACGAAGTTTTTAATAATATTGAGACAGAATTCAAAAGGTGTTAATAACTTATTTTTAAATTTTGAAAAATCAGCTATTATACTACATTCTCTCACCAAGTCCACTTTACCTAACCTCAATTCAATTAAAATCCACGATAATACACGTCAGATTTATGACCTATGCCACTGCAAATCAATCAATATAGTAACAAATTTCAAATATCTAGGTATTGAAATTTGAAATGTGCTCTGATATGAAGTGGGTAAATCAAATTACATCTGTCTGCAATAAGTTGAAAAAATTAATTTATATGATAAAACAACTTCGTGATATTCTACCACCTAAAGACATTAGAATATTTTACTTAGCTCTTGTTGAATCGCAAATCACATGTGGTTAGGTTGGGGTGGTGCCTATGATAATATTCTCTCCCTACTTCAAACCTGTCAAAACACAATTATCAAAGTTGCAATTCAAAAAGACCGTAGATATCCAACCTCAAAAATATTTAAAGAGTTTAATGTATTAAATATTAAAAACCTGTACTTTAAAATAAGCATTTTGTATATAAACAAAACACAATATACTGTTCCCTTTGAACCAGAGGCGGACTGGCAGATCGGGAGGTCGGGAAATTTCCTGATGGGCAGGTCGAATAATCAAATTATGGGGCCGGAAAATTTGGTTGTACAAGACGTAACTTATAACGATATATAGAAAAATAATAACTAAAAAATTATATTTATTAAATAATAAATATTAGTTCATTTGTATTTTGTATTGTCAAGTGGAAAGATGAATATATCGAAGCAATATAAACAATCATAACCTCAGCTTTTTAAAGGTAAGTCAGATCAATTTTTAAATAATATTGTATTATAATCACGGCTATAGATAATATGGTTGCGGAACGGCCTACACTAAACAACGCATTACACCGAGCTGGAATGTTATTGAAAAGTCACGTGACTAAAATTACGAGCCTGTCGCGCCATCTACGGTATTTGTTAGAACTTAGAACTAATAATTATTGTACCACGCCCACATAGAAATTTGAAAATATAAATATTTTCAAAATTTTATAAAATGATTTTGTCGAAAATATTATGTTGAAAATATTGAATAGCTGTTTTGAAAATATTTGTTTATAAAATATTTATAAAGAAATATATCCAAATTATTTTCAATACATTGCATACTAAATATTATAATTCTATTTCTAAACAAATATTATGAAAATATTGGTCTGCCAAATATTTTAACCAAAAAATTTTCAATACATTGCGTATAAAATATTACATTAACATTTTCTACAAACATTTTTAAAATTGTTACTGTCCAAATATTTAAGCTCAGATATAATCAAAACATTTTTAAAATACTATCTATCAAATATTATGACGTTCTATCTTAACTTGTGTTTTCAAAATATTGGTCACCCATATGTTATAACTGAAACTTAACCAAAAAGTTTTCATTATATTCATGTAAAATATGTATTTAAAAAAATGTTTACTATACTTATATATATATATATAGCTAGTATTTTATATTTTTACTATGGTTAGGTATATAATAACTATTATAATAATAATATAATTCATATTATATAATATTGTAGATATGCTTAAAGTATATAGAAAATATCCCCATAATTTTCCTTAAAATTATTAATACATTAAATTAGTTTAAACTAATTCTAATTTTAGGATTTATTATATAATAATAATATACACTGGAAATTGTAATATAAAAGAGATCACATTTTCTTAATTTCTTATTTATACCTACCAACACTAATAATAAGATATTGTAGGTACTATCTAATTCAACATGATATACTTATTATAACAAGCATTTACTTGTTTTTATGCAACTAAATATAGTGCTCTAAAAATTTGATTAAGTATTAAAAAATTACGATAGAAACGAATACAATTTAGAAACTATTTAATTCCCACTAGGTGCAGTATTATATACTATTAATGGTTACTTATTAATACAGTGGCGTCCGCAGAATTTTTCAATGGGGGGGGGGGGCTTGAAAATTAGTTACATTTTTATTTTATTTTGTCCAGTCTAATAATTTCAGACGTTTATTTGAGGTATTTTAAAATGTTTGTAACTTTTCAAATTTTCTGGTAGAAAAAATGCTCTGATCATAATCATCTAGTTGGTACTTTTAGGTGGTCGAAATTGAAATTTCTCAGTGCTTTTTAAAATAATTGGAGAAAAAAAATTAAAATGTATTAAAATGTTTGGTTATACCGTCTTCACTTGGATTGTATTTGAATAATTAAATTTTTTTTTTTCTATATAAATGTCAATAAAAAATTATTTATCCGGTTAAAAACCTTAAAAATGTAATACATAAGTTATTTTATTATAGCTAAAATATTAACGATACATAGGCATAGTGTTTGAAAATTTCATGAAATTTAAAAAAATGAAATATTTCAGTAGGTATTTTGAATTTTGATATATTTTGTTTTATTTTTAAATAAGTTTTATATTTACATATAATTGTCATAAATTACCTTCATAACTATATGGTACCTGTATGTATACCTAACCTTTGGTATTATACATTTAAAATGGTATTCAAAATTTTTAAATATTTTAATGTTTAAATGATACAAGTAGGTATACAATATTATATTATTATACGTACATGTATATTGTATAAATACTGAATTCTGTCATTAGAATTTAGAACACTGAACATTGTGTTAAAAAAATAAATAAATTGTGTTTTTATTTGTGTAAAAAAATTTCAATGTGTCACTTTTTTGTGAAATATTTGATATTTCATACTTCAAACACTACATAGGCACCATGGTTATTTTTTATAAGCATTTAAAGTTCAAATTTCGTCAAAATGACAGTTAATTTGTAGTTCAAA